CCCCAAAAAACCAAGCCCAGCTAAAGCCTCCAACAATAGACTAGTTTGATCTCTGCAAACCTCCTCCTTATAATCACTTCCACCCCCTATTAATCAAGCCCAGCTCCCCCAGACAGAAAATATAATTAGTTTTGTATTTATTTATTGACTTTTTTAGTAGTCAATATCTTCTGGTCCATGGTGAAACTGATCTTCCAATCCACTCTTGTCTCATGCCATCTCTTTGAGATATAGCATTCTGATCCACCTTTTTCCCACGCTGATCCTCTGATTCATCAGCAGCAATCTGCGCAGCCAACCATCCCCCCAAACCCCAAAAACTCTCTAGCAAAATTCTTTCCTTTTCCCTTATTAAAACTCGATCGAAATCTTAAGGTTTTCAAGCTCACAAAGGATACCCCTCACACAGGCCCTACCACCCCCTAATCGTAGGGACCCCTCCCCCTAGTCATCAAGCCCACCCTCTGGCCTCCATCTTGTTTTCCAAAGGTTCTCATGTGGTTTCCATCTCTTCCAACCCTTTCATCCCGACTCTTCCAAATACTAATTCCCTTTCGTCTCAATTCTTCCAAATACTCATTCCCTTTCATCTCAATTCTTCCAAATACTCATTCCCTTCACCACAACTCTTCCAAATACTATTTCCCTTTCATCTCAATTCTTCCAAATACTCATTCCCTTTCATCCCAACTCTTCCACATACTAATTCCCCTTCATCTCAAATCTTCCAAATACTAATTCCCTTTCATCTCAATTCTTCCAAATACTAATTCAATTTCATCCCAACTCTTCCAAATACTAATTCCCTTTCATCTCAATTCTTCCAAATACTCATTCCCTTTCACCACAATTCTTCCAAATACTAATTCCCTTGCATTCCAGTTCTTCCAAATCAAATTCCCTTTCATCATCAGGTCATCACCTTTATTAAGGGGATGTGGTCTGCGCCCAGGGCCCAGACCTTGTTGACCTTGTTGACCTTGTGGGGGGGTGATTAATCCTACGTCGACATAAAATGGTTTTGGAAGATCCTCGTGCTGAAGCTTGTGGGCAATCAGCCCGCCAAGTTCATCCAGAGCAATTCGCTCTGCTTCTTCAGCAAAACCGTCCTCTCGCGAAGCGCCTGTTCGGATTCGCTCGCCGAGGGCCTTGCCCGCAGCCGCGGAGAGGAAAACTTTGGCGTCGGGGGGCCAAACTCGTGCGAACCGACTGCCAGATGGAAGCGGCCGGATCCGGAGTTTCCCTGCCGCCACACTGGAGCTCCGGGGCGAATAACGTTGCAACCCGGCATTTGCCAACAGGGCCTGGGAAGAATGCGCGACGGCGATGGTGTCGAAGTTCTTAGGGCAATCGTTTGCACAATGGGCGCATTCTGCGAGACCCACCACGCGAACGAAAGACCCGTCGGAAGAAGGGCTTGGTGAAACAATGGCGGCGTGCTGCGCCATTTGGCATACATACACGCAAGGCCTTGCGCAGGCACAGTGCTGGTGGCCAGGGTGAAACGTTGAAAGTCACTTGCGTGTGAATTGGCTGCTTGGTAGTCCGTTCCAAACGGGTCCGGACTTCCTTGACAGCGTTGGAAAATTCGGGCACATCACGACCAGACGGTGTGAGCGCCAGCAGCTCTAGCAAATCTGGGTCGCTACAAAACATAAAGACGTCGCCGTCGAAGTCGGCGCCGCGAATTGCGCAGGGCCCAAGCCCGGCACAGTACAGCGAATTATTGCAAACATGCTTTGCATGTTTCGGGAGGGGGGACGGCCACCCAGTTTTCGATGTCCCTTGGCTGGAGCATAGGGTAGCTCCAAACAGCAAACTTCCCCACTCACAGCTATTAATTACAATGTGGCACTGCTTGCCCTGCGCAAGGCTCAAGGCGCATTGACGAAATAGCCTTTGTCAATTTGCATGCTTCACAGCTCGAACAAACAGACAACGGCATCTTCGAGGCTAAAAGAAATCAAGTTGCAGCAAAGCTCCTTCAAAGTGCCCCATGTGTCTGTCCACGCCCTGGCTGACCCCGACAAGCCTTTCTTGAAAGGCAGCGAGGGCTTGCGGTTGTGGCCATTGACCATGGCATTGAACCGCCGGCGCCCTCGCATCAGCCTGTCTTTCGTGCCTGCAACTCCTGAAAGGAACTTTGATTGCTCAACTCAACTGCAATCTAACATAATTGCCAAACTTGAAGGCTCAAAATCAACCCCCAGCCTCGCAGGATGGAAAATGGTCGTGGCTCCATCTCCTTTTGCAAGAGCACGGCCAGGTCAGTTGGGTTCTCCAAAGCCTCCGGCGACGTTCTTTGATTGAGAAGGCAAACAGAAGGATTAGCGTAGCGTCCGAGCCTCTTGGTAGACCAACTCAATCCGGTCTTGGAGAACGCGCCGTGTGCCCCAAGGGTCTTGCGCTGCGGCAGGTGCATCTTGGGGGCGTGGACGTGGGCCAAGGCTTCGGGCCTCTAAAGACAAAAGGGAACTCATGACACGAAACGTGCTGTGTTGTAAAGAAATGCATGGTTACTATACGGCGATACGGTTTGATACGGGGTAGCAACCCAGGATTTGCGCCTTGGCCTTGCCGGTGGCTGGCTTGGGAGGGGCAGGCAACGCCCAAGCTTGGCAAAGAAGGTCTTCGGTCTTTGCCTGTGGCCCGCTCATGGTTTGAGAACGTTTCGATGAAATAGGGATTGGCCTGCCCTACAGGACTACTCGGGCGGTTGTTTGATTGATCCCTTCCCCTTTTGACCCTTCACAACGTTTCAGGAAATAGCCGCGCCTTTCGCCCAGCATCAAGCAAACCTTTCAATTTCGCTTCGGCTTCAACTTTCTCCTCTCACATTCGTGTATTCATTGGGGCCGAAATGAGTTCAATTGAAGGCGACACGTCACAGAGACAAGCTGACAAGCATGTGTCCCAATCCTGATCGGTTGCGCACAAGCAAATGCGGAGCATAATTGATGACTTGTATGATAATTAGACACAGATTTATTGCCCACCAAACACTTTTTTTGCGAGGTTAAATTGCCCCCAAAGAAAAGTTTTATGAGCGGGGAATATTATTTAACCATCGGTATATGAAAGGTATCCGATTCGTTGCAGCTTTTTAGTACAATTTGGTTTTGCCAATCTGAATAGTTGGAGAAAATGTCTTGTAAAAGCTAGACAAATAATTTATCAAAAGATGCATTAATTTTGCCGAGGGAACCTAAAAAAAAGAATTGCCAAATCAATACCAGTTTTGCAAATCCATGGGTTATTAAAAACGAATCCATAATAGCCGGCAATATATCCTGAGGCATCGTAAGCATTCCACGATTATAGGTATTGAAATCGCCAAAGCCGCTAACCTCAATCGATAAAATGCAAACAATAGAAAATTCGAAATACATACCTGGGAAAGTTCCTTAAGTCGAAAATTAAGAAGGCTTACATAGGTCCAATCATTAAAAATATGTGTTCCTAATACAAATTAGTATATCAATACCTACTTCGTAACGATATAACGATCGAAAATAACTACGTCCAAGAAAAATCGACCAAATAGATTAATTTCATTACGATTCAACATATTTTAAAAATCATCAATTCGATATCGACCAAGAAAAAAACTATATATAAATTAGCAAAATATTACCTAACGGATATCTAAGAATTCAATAAATAGCAAAATAATTGTATTCCTAAATCCATATATTTAACTAGTTTTAAAGTAATATCGAAAATATCCTATTAGTTCAAAAAAAAATCTATTAAAATACATAAATAAATACTATATTATATTAGTTTTTATTTATTGAAAGTTAAATAAGAATCAATTATTAATTGTACGAATATTACAATATGTATTTTAAGACAAAATACTATACAATTACCTTAATTCCATCATTATAAAAAAATACAATATATATATATAATTAATATAAAGTTAATATTACAAAATTTATACAACATATATATATGTATATCATTAACAATAACCTAAATACGTTAATCAATTCAACACAAAAATTGTTTATATTGTTCCAAAATAACTCTAAAAAATGTTGCATCGGATGTTCAATTAAGAATTCACTAAAAGATGTATCATTGCAATACACACCAAAGATCAAAGAAAAAATGCATCTTTAATATATTCCCGTTAATATAATATTCGAAACAAATCAAACATAGTAGAATCAAATTTAGTAATATCGTCTTTGTTAAATAAATCAACATGGCTAAGGTGCATGTAAGCAATGATTTAAAAACAAAACCGATTCAAAAAGCAAACCGGAAGAATCGTTGAAGCCGAACCAAAAGCCTTACTAATTACAGATTGCAAGAGTTTTTATGACCTGGTAAACAAAATGGCGATTCCATATTATCGTAATCTTAATAAAATAACAATCGGAAGAATCTATTAAATGCAAGTAGACATCAATAGCAATCATGCTTAACCAATTGCATAAACAAACCAATGGATTCGACCTTCTTGGGAAAAATGTTGTCACTAGGCAAGTGTTCGAATTTATGACGATACCAATTCATCGAAAAGCAGTCCAAATAAGACTTTCAGCACTCGATGGGTGGAATCCCTCCCTAAAAAAGCAATGTCAATCGATTAGAAAACATAATCAATGTGAATCGATCGAATCGAGCAGCCGATAGAGCCACCTTCGAATGCAACCAATCCAGCAGGGTGCAAACAAGCCAAGAAACCACAATAATGGTTTGGCTCAAGCCCATTCGAATGCAAAGCAAAAGTAGAAACAAAAACGGTGGCCCGTTTGAATCGGGGTAGAAGACCACTTTGGATAGGTACGGTTTGGTAGATCCCCTTAGGTTGATTGGTTGTGGGCTGAGAAGCTACCTTTGTGAATTGGAAGAATCCCAGCCATATGCGTGAATATGTATATATTTAATCAATATATAAATATGTTTTGATGAATATACAGAATTCTATTGATTTCTTAACCCTTCCCCAATGAAAATTCGCCCGTCAGCTTCCAGCTGTCTTCGACATCCGGATCACCATAGTTGGGCCTTATCTGGGCTGATCTGGGATTGCCTTTGTTCTTGGATGTTCTTGGCATCTACGCCACCAACGTGAATTAGAAGTTGCCCCCCATGCGAGTCGCCGGCACACCATACGCTAGACCCCGGGGTGGCGAGGTTCGGATCAAGTCGCCACGAGTTTCAATTGGATTTACATGATATTGTCACGATATATCATGCAAAAAATGATGACGCCTACAACATTTTGTTTTTTTTCATCCGTCCATCATGTTTTTCATGCAAAAAATGAAACACATTCTGTGAAATGCAATGATTAAGGCTTAAGTCGGCTTAAGGGACATCTATGACCAGTGCCCCGACGGATCCCGGCATGGAAAAAATAACTCGGACTCCCTGCAATGCCGACCGCTGTCGGGGACCTCGGTCAGGCGTCCAAGAGAGAGAAAGAGGCTTCCAGAAGCAATGGCCTTGCTACTAGGGTCTCCTGGCATCACTACTAGGAGCAAGGATGCTACTAGGGGCTCCTGGCCATACTACTAGTAACAAGAAGCTACTACTAGCCTCTTGCTCCTAGTAGCGATGCCCTTGGATGTTGCCCAAGAATCTGTTGGATGTGGTGCCCCAGAATGCGTCATACCCGGTCTTGTTCGTCCGGTGTTCGGCGGTCTGTCCAAGGGAACAAACCCACCTCGGACCTGGTCGACCGTAGACCACCGTAGACCTCTTCTTAGCCCTCGTCACCCACCGCTCGACTCGCCTCCTGTAAGCCGGTGTGGATCGATGCGACCTGGACACGCGACCGTCGATCAGCGACCGGTTTCACTTCAAGACCGAACACCTGGATCAGCGACCGAGCCCAGCTTTAACGTGTTCAACACATCTGAACACATAGTATATACTTGGATCGTTTGAATTGAACAAGGCAGAGTTGACATATGGCATGTGAGGCTTCAAATTGTTCTGAACCCTGTCCATAGTTTTGAACCGTAATGGCCCATATATTTTTTGGTTGACAACCCCCAGCTGGAACGTCTGTCACCTGTGCCAGCTTCTCCTCCACCAGCGCGGCCGCCTGGCGGTTTTACGCTGCAGCGAGGATTGGATGATTGACTGACGCAGACTGCGGTGAATATGATAGGATGCTTCTGGATGCTTTAGGCTTTAGGGTTTAGGGTTTAGGGTTTACTCTTCGTTCAAGTGCTGGCTTAGAATGGCTTAGATGGGTTTCAGCGCCGTCAGACAAGCCTTGCAGGATTCGAGCCAGGAGTTTGGCTTGGGGAGTGTATTCGCGTGTAATGGTAATCGTTTGTTGGTCTTCAAAATGAAAACATCACCATCACATTCATTGGACTTCTCCTGGTGTAGCTAAGACCAAGTCAAGGAAGACTGAAGAAGCAAAGTCAGAGCTCAGGCATACCAGGTGGCTGGCTCTTGCAAGCTGAAAGGATTTTCAGGATCTGATGGAACCGATTTGCAAAATCTTTGCATATCTTTATTATGTTTGTTCTAGTCCTTCCAATGTTTCTGACCCCACTCCTTTCCTTTTCGTTGGTAGATTGTTAGATAGTCCCATGGTTGCCATAACTCCATCAAGCGCCAAAAGCACTAAACATGGCGCGACCCACCACTGTAGTGGCATGTGGGATGGCCTCGGTGGCCACCGATTTTCAGGCTGTGAACAGCCGAACAGCCGCTGTGGAACAGCCCGCAGCCAGCCCTCTGATGGCTGCAGCGATCAGCTTGACCCAGATCATCAGACCAGGTTGACGGTTGATTCAAAAAGACCCCCTGAACCTGGGGATGTAAAGGTCTGGTTTGATTGAAGGGTGCGGCTACATGGCCACTGTGGCCAAGGCAGAACATGATTGGTGAACACTGTCTGGCGTCTGTTTTAACCCTCAGAGTTTTAGCATTTTGCATTTTGTAGTGACTACTGACTACGTGTAGTGTCAATTTTGTTCGACCCGACGTTGACGTGAACCTTGAAGTACCAAAACATTATTCTTCAGTTGGGTCGAAATTTTCGCCTGGCAACTCTGATGTCACAAGCTGACATGTCTGTGTAAGGGCCAAAGAAAGTGGACGGGTTTGCGGCCAGTCTTAGTGCGCCTCAAAAGGGGAACCATGGGGCATTCACCAAAAAAACCATGTCACAGCACCTCTTTCCGACGGCCCGATGCGTGTCATCCAGGCGTGGCCCCAGAGTAGAGCTGCTGCTTCAGGTCACTCTGAATTTGGCTCAAGGTCTTGGCCACCCCAAGAAACACGGACGATGCCATCACCAGCTTCAAAAAGCCCGAGAGGATGAGCCGACGATTCACCACGGTACCGGTGCCCCACAAGACGAAGCCTAAGCCCTGTCCCGCATTGGACTCCTCGTCGGCGCCGAATCCAGGCCGCCGAAGGAAAAAAGGGAAACCAGGTGTCCCCGGACGGCGTGAAGGCCCCACACAAAAGCTCTGCTATGAAGACCCCCTGTTGCATCCGCAACTTGTTGCGGATGTTCTTCTCCAGAAAAAAGGGGTAACAACACCCAGTTTGGTTAACACGCCCAAAAGCCGTCCCCCCCTGATTCGCCCATCAACATCCCATCAACATCGACGTCCGGTCCTGGATATACCTTTCCGTTTTGCGGAGTTGCACGTCGTCCTTCAGCTTCTCGAGGCTGCGGAGCTGGTTCAATTCCATCAGCAATCGACCACAGGCATCTGACACCAAGGCTGGTGGGATGAGACAAAGCAAGCCCAGTGGCAAGGAGGTGAGCATAATGCCCAGCAACTTGATAGCCAGCTCCACCTGGCAAAGTGGTGTCCATGTATGCGTGGAGATACCCCATGTCCAACCATATGGGCGCATGGTGATGAGGTGCTATAGATAATATGCGTTGCACACAAGAACCCGTAACCCTATCTGCGGTCTCTGACTCTGACTCGACTCTTTTTCTCTGCCAAAGGCGCCCAGTGCTTCAGGATCTTGTCAAAGTCCACTGCCACAAAGCCAAAGAGCCACAGAAACGAATAGGTCCAACTCACGACGGCGAAGCCCAACGCGGAGGCGCCGATCTTCTGGAGCGCCGGCAACACGTCTTGGGCCAAATTCACCGCTTCCTCGTGGACCTTCCGGGTCACCTTCGTCACTTCCTGCCGTTTTCGAATCCCAGCATGGCTGGTGGCCATAAAACAGCACGACTGAAGCCTTTGGGACAAAGAAAAATATCAAACAGTTTCGGAAAAAGGATCGCCGAGCCTGTCATAGCCCATCTTCAAAACCCACTATGACAGGGTGAACTCGTGAACAACCAGACATTCACCGCGCGAACGCAGTCCTCCTCTTCTGGTTCATTAAACTTTGTTGGCTCTGAGCCAGCATCGGTGTCATCCTCCACAAGCAAAAGGGATCGTACTTTTTTCTCAGCCGCAGTCACCCAATTCCTTGCGACTGATGCAACAATGTAGGAGTCCAGCATGAACTGCCTCACATTGTGCATAGAGTTCTGTTTGGTTGGCGTTGTGACCGCGACCGTTTAATGATATTTACTGTATGTTTACTGTTTATACGTGGTGACGGCGTCGAAGAATGCTGTCGCTTGAACCTCGACTCAAACAAGCCCAACAAACCCGGCTTGTTGCTGAGGGTCAGAATGGAGATCCTCAACAGGCCAAAGTAGCAAAGCTCCATGCACAATTCGGCCGCTTGTCCTTTCCAGGCATGCTCCAAATGCTTGTGGTGTGAGAACGAAGCGACTGCAAGCTTGACGACTGCGTAAATGGCATGGATTGCAACAGCGAAACACATCAGAATCGTCGGCAAGCAAAGGTAAAGTCCCTTGCGCAATTCATCTGCGAGTGATTTGCTCAAGCCTGCCACACATGTGGCTCTGGACCATCTTCTTTTTCGCCTTCCTGATACTTGGACAGGCTCCAAACAAACATATATGTATATATAGTTATATATATATAGAGATTAACTTTTCGACCCAAACACCCACTGCCAAAAAGGGCGATCAAAAACATCACCACCAAGCAACGTATCTCTTTCTGCTTCTCTTCCGAATTTTCTGGCTCGTCTTTCTTATCCACGACGAGTTCATTTGCCTCAGTCGCCATCTGTCCAAACTCCAGCACGATGCACATGGCCAACATGAGACCCTCACGCACCACGTCCAAGACTTCAGAGAGTGGCTCCAGGGGAAAAATCCTCCAGGAGAGCCAAAACCTCCAACAAACGTTGCTGGAGAAAAAGAGGATCAGGCTAAACCTGCGGTTGCGCAGCGAGGTCTTCAAACACCGGAAGTAGGGTTCTTCGAAAAAGGTCTTCGATAGAGCAAAATTGAAGATTTGGTGCTTGACCCAACCAGTGGTTTTGTGTTTCTGCTTCTTGACTGAAATTGCTGCTTCATGGTAAACTTGAGAAACAACAACGCATTCTCCAGCACTCTGTTCACATCTGTTCACCATGCAATCGGAATCGGCCTTGTGATGCGACTTTCGATGCAGAACACCAGCCAGCAGGATTTCAGTCTAGGTGCGGGTTCCAAAGGGTTCCCCTCCACTGCCTCTCTGGGCTCTACGTCTTCCAAAGCAGTGCCCATCCAGATGTTCCACAAGAAGCCTGAGGAATTGAAAGACCCCACACGGAAGACAAGCACCTGACAAGCACTTTTGGGACATTCACGGAAATTCAATGTGAACCGATCCAAGACCTACTGTAGGAGGGAAGTTAAAATGGTACCAACTTGGGGCAGTCAGGTCGCATGGCAAAGTACCCAGAATGATCAAGAGAGCCAAGCATGCTGGGAGCAGCCCTGTGACAAACAGGACCCAATGTGCTGGCGGAACTGGGGCAGCTGCCAATTTCACCGTGTAGTGAAGCCTGGTTGGTCGTGAAGCCGGTAGTTCCCAATGAACATATGAGTCAGACGGTCAGACCCAGCGACGACTTAAAAAGCGTGACTTGTTCGAAAGGGAACCTGACAGAAATCGAAAGCATCTTGAGAAAGCTCACCACCAAGATACTCACGGCCCTTTTCAACCTTCTTCGTCTGTTGATTCCAAAGCTTCATCACACCTCCACCGATCAGAAAGATCATGAAAAATCCAAGCCTAGCAAGTTACCGTAGCAAGTTAGTCTCCGTATTCTTTGATGGGACAACAAACCTCTGTCTTATTCGTGAACATCCAAACCTAGCAATGTCCGCTTTTCACACGCCCACCCGGTCTCTGTGGAGGAGTCCCTTACTCGACAATAAAGCAAAAAGCACAAAAAAACGCCTGAACGAAAAATAGACCTGCAGCCAAGACACTGATGAGATTCCAGTGGCTCACATCTCTTTGGTCAATCTCAAGCACATGTGCTCCAGTCGGGTCGGTGATTTTCTTCGCCACCTCTCCATTAGGTGCGTAATCAGAGATCACCACTCCTCCGCCATAGACATCTGTGTTCTCATAGGACTGGCTCAAGATCACCCCTGGGTGTTTCCCTTTTTGGAGTCTCAGAATCACCGGATCAGCGTCCTCCCCGAACACGGTTTCCGGAATGATTTTATCACCCTCTGCCAGTGAGTGCTGAAGTGCAGCCTGATCTGGTTCCTCGGCAGAACGAATCGCAAGAGCCTCCGGTAGCAGCCAGGCCCAAAGAAACGGCCACCAAATGATGAACAGTGACATTGACATAGATGTGAAACAATATGGAAGCTGCTCCAAACAAGTACAGGGAAACACAAGTACAGACAACAAGCGATCTTTCTTCAGGTGTCTAAAGCCTTGAGCATTTTGCGGCGAATCTGTGTGTCTCTTCGATCGCTGATGGTTCTATCCCCCAGCAAACTCAGCCACGAGTGCCCCTTGGAACCAATCAGGGGAGTCAAGGAGCCTACCTCATGCTTACTCTCATGATTCTTCAAGTGGAGCCCTGAAAGAGTGCAAAGTAGGGAGTCCCACCAGCCCAGTTGAAGATGTCTCAAACGTTTGACAAAGGTTTCGGGAAAAAAGAACTGATACTGTAGTTGAAAAAGGACCGGCCAAGTTTGCACTGAACGAAATGCTTTCCGGCCAACTTCACAAACACACGGCCCGCCCACGGCCCGCGTTCCGAAGAACCCCGCGACGTCTGGGAATGGACAAGGATTCGAATTTTTGCATAATTGACTGTGGCAACGCCCAACACCATCATACCCAAAAACTCTTCCAAAGTTCAAACTTGTTTGAAAAGGTTTCCTCGATGTTCACCCCCCCAAAACACTTGGACAGCCACCGGTGGGCCGGGCCGAGGCGTTCACCCATCTTTCTGTCCCAACGCCCTCGCCGGACCCCGCCGGGTCCTCCGGACGTGGCCCAGGGCATTGAGTTCCACGAGGTCAAAAGCTGCTTTGTCCTGCCGAGGTTTCAGCCGCCTTTTTTCACGTACCGCAAAAAGAAAGAGCCGGGGCTCTGCACTGTTCACCTGTTACACTCTGGAAGACCAACATGGACCCTCAAAACCACTGGTGGGTAGAGGAAAAAACTATCTTGCCACTTCTGAAGTCTTCAGCAACTACAGTATCCGGGGTTCCTCACAGCTTGACAGAGTGGAGGACCGGAAGACCCAGTCAGAAGGCATCCTTTTATCGTCCAGAACTGACCCCAAAAAGTGCTCATAACATATTTAATGTATTATACAATCAGGTATTGCGTTAAAGTCATAACGCTAAATATCACCAACCATTTTCTGGAAAATGGCCCATCCTTACAGTTGTGTGCGTTTCGCACCAACCCGCCTGAGACCCTGTGAGCATCTGCTTCGCCGCTCGCACATAGTAGCCGGCACCTGCATCAAAGGCGTCTTGTCTTCGATGAGATGAGCAGCACTTGTGGGCACCAGCATTGTGTTCACCCAGACTGAGACTTGATGCGCCCCAAAGACCTATGTTTGACCGCTTCACCCAGAAAACGTACACACACTCGAGAAAGTGCGTACGGAAACTGATCGCCCCAAGCCCTGAAGAAGCCTAAGTGAAAAATGACCATCTCAAACCTCTAAAGCCTCCAAAACCTGAAGCCCGTACTGTACATCTCAAAGGCGGCAAGAACTCGTGACTGCAGTGAAGGAACCGCTGCAATGGCCAAAGTCCTGGTCTAGTTCTGAATGGGATCAAGGAGGAAATCATAACTCTGCAGGTACGCAGTTGGACGTCTCCAACTGTATCACAGATAACTGATGAGCGTCTTTGTTAGCACCGGTCTCATCAGCACCCCGCCGTGCTCCCTGCAAAAATAGAACTCCAAATCAAAGGATTCCCTGTGACTCCAAGGGTTTCGCCCGCACGCCCGCCCGCACGCACGCTCGCACTTGACTGAAGGTGTGTGGTCTTTTGGAGTTGGAGTCAAAGAGATGTTGCAAATTGGGCCCTTCGAGAGAAGATGCATGCATATTCACGCAACGTGCACTTTGTTCAAGCCGTTTGGTAAACCAGCAGCCTCTTCATGCATATTCAAACAACGATGATTCAGAACTGGCCCAGTAAACATAAAGCCCCGAAGATACTCTGTGAGTCTCTCACTCATGACAGCCATCAGTCACTCTAGTCGGTCACTGATCACCATACAAATCACCAACCCAGCCCAATTGTCTATCCCATCACCAGCACCAGCACCAGCACCGGCACCCAGCACCAGCACCAGCAACCTGTCTCGAAAGCGCGCACGGGCAACTCATTGTTATTTGAAGTAAGAACCCCATAGCTTCGCTATCTGGGGAAAAAATCCATCACCTCCGTCTGGGATATGCGAGGCTCCAACTCTTTTGCTTGGAAAGCTTCATGACGATTTTGGACTCGTCGATAGGGTCCAACCTCATCGAAAGCAGCATTGCGCACTTCGACAGGCGGATGCGAATAGGTTCGTACACCCCTGGGTGTGTGTCAATCAGTAATCAAATCCAAGTTTTGTTTGGGTGAGGTGACTATCAACCACCAAAACTTGAAAATACAGTAATCACTCCTATGCATCCCTTGTCATCAATATCAACAATCAACAGACGTATTTTGGACTACTGTCTATGCCTCATCTGTTCTGGGTCCCATAAGCCTTTCGGGCTGTCTTCTCAGCTGAAGGTGCAATACAGCACCTGAATGAGAAGGCTGCAGAGAACATCGTAACCAAACATCTGCCAGTTAGCTGCGAAAGTGTGGCTTGCCTGGGTTTTATGTCTGGTGGGCAAAATGCAAAATAAACAGGGCGACATGAGCAGCGACGCTCGTGGCATCCAACAAAAACAGAAAACGCGACGTCTTCCGACATCTGCGACTGGAGAAACCCCATGTGTGGATGCTGTTCGTCTGGATTCATGAGAAAAAGGAGAGCAACAACCCCAGCCCACTACCCGACTTTCTTCAGAAAAGTATCACATTGCCATAAAACTCCAAGAACCAACAGGCGAACACTCAACACCACATGGCTACAAAGAATTGAAAATGAAAAAGTTATCAAAGGAGACACAGGTTATACTCTATGTCATGGCCTTACTCATGTCCAAACTTGTTTTAAGCAGAATGGCCATCTAATTATAGCTATATAATTGACTATTATAAATATATAGTTTCTGCTAGAAGTTTGAGACATGAGTGTGTAGTTTAATAGGGAGATCCCCTGGCCCTGGCTGGGCAGGGGGTCGAATAGGGGTCGGTCTCCGTACAAATCCACACCCCACATGTCCAAAACCGCATCATCTGAACCTTCACCACCGTCTAGCAGCTTCCATATACAGGTTCCATAGAGGTTCCATATTCCCTCTTCGCCCCCCCCACGTGCAGCTGGCCGCCCGAGGTCGGACCTCCGGCGCCTGGTGACCGATGAAACACGTGGAACGAACGTACCGAGACGGTGGAACCGATGGGAGTCTTCTGTCTTTTTGGTGCGGAAACATGCTTGGAATGATGAACGAAAGAGACATTTGGTGAATCTATTTTGCAAAGACCCGGTCGGTTTTCTATCAAGAACATGTCCAGCTGGTAGCAATGTCATCCTTTTCCGAACTGTGACTGTGACCCATCATCTCTTTGAAAACAAGTTAGCATCTCGAACATTTCCTCGTTTGGATTCAACAAGAGGGACCCGATTTGAAACGATCATTTCCAGAACTCACATAATGCGACTCCTGACCTACAACCAGAAAAGACGGAGTGATGAGTGATGACTGGCCACATCCTAATCGGCTTGGGGCTGCATCCCAACATACCCCAACCCTGTTCCAAGCCCACAAGAATCTAGCCTCCAACCCTGCGTTCCAGGCTTTCCAAACCAAAAGAGCCCAACAAAACATGGACCAAAACGTTCCAGCCTTGGATCCTTTTTCTGAACCTTCACACATAGTCTTTTTTGGGTTTTTTTTTATTTTTTATTTTTTTTCGGAACATCATGCTTTTGCTCTGAACCTTGCCACGGACGGTTGTTCTCCTGCGCGGAACCTTTGCGGATGGAATCGGCTCTTCTCATCGTGTTTGAGACCAACCTGAATCATCCTCCCTTCCTTCATTGCTCTGTCGTCACTCTGTCGTCTACACATCAGAAAACAACCCAGCTGTGTGTTGGGTCTGTCAGCTGTCAATATGATGAAAGAAGCACCACAGTATACCACAGTCATCTGTCACATCCAGGCTCCCCCTTGAATCATGTTTCTTGGTCACCCGGCTGCCAAATCGGTCACTTGTATGGTTTCGTCCACGTTGGGAAGCATCACATCTCTCCCAAACCTCATTGGGTCAAGGGGTCCGCCAATAGAAGAAAGCGCTCGCTTATCCTCTTCTTGGGGCATTCACAAAATGGGCTCCAGAACCCACAAGAAGAGCCTTCTGCTTGGGGTCCTTCAATCATTGGTGCCCCTGGACCGTGGACCGTCGCAGCGAATCATCGGGGAGCCGCCCTGAACTTTGTTGGACACCTTTGTTTAATCACCGCGGGTTAGGGCCTCCCTAAAACCAACTGGAGTAGTACGACTCAACATAGGTGCTAGATCTACATCTCACGAGAAAACCCCCAGGCATCACCAGGCTATTCCTGTGGAACATGTGATGAGAGGACTTTGTGTGGTCTGAGAACTTGACTGGAAACAAAGGGATTGCCTCCCTCTTGCTCATTGGAGGTTCTACTTCAACAAGAGCCTTGTGAGTTTGTAAGGGGACAGATCTCTGCAGCGGGGAGAATCTTGATTTATGGTAGGTGCTGCTTCCAAGTTCTCGCATCAATAACACCTCAAAGAAAAGCGGAAGCGGGTAGAAGATGGATGCGAGAGTAGATAGACATAGATAGAGTTGGGGAAATCTAGAAATGGACAAATGGTATTTCTGAATGCCAACACGACGCGAACACTCCGGTGAAACTGCCTGCCTTTCAAAAGGCGTTGTTGTTCATGGTGTTTCACCATTCACTGCTCTTGTTCTCTGCTGTTCTAGAAGGAAACTTCCGCATGGGGTTTTGTGGTGAAGCCGCACCCCGGGGGAACTGCTGCGGTGCGGCATCCGTGCGGCCCTCCCGCAGCGAAAACGAACAGAGCCGGGTTTCCCTTGACCGAGAACCGGGTTTCCCTGCTCTCCCTTCACGAAGACTTTAAGAAACTCCGGGAAGGTCACGATGTTATTGCCTGGGACACGTCTTCACAACCGGAGACCTTGAAAGCAAAGAGTTTACGACCCAATGTTGGCCTGATTTCGCCCCAAGTGGCTTGGTAACTGAGGGGGATGACCATAGCAGTCGGGGGTCGTTGTGAAAGATTTCTATTGGAAAACTAACAACCCTCTACGTGCTCAAAGCTGCTGCATGTTCTTTCACTAGGCCAGGCATGGCCAGGCACTACTTGAACCACCAGTTCAACAGCACCAAGTCCGGTGCAACGGCCTCGTGGATATAATACTGTCATGTCCACAGCGTATCACAGCGTCATGCCCATGGGTCCTGCCAATGGCTTTGTTCTAGCCTGCCACAGTGACACCGCTCTGTGCGTATGTGCAGCTATGTGCCTCACAAAATCTGCATGTCTATGCTTCAAAATTGGGGCACACCCAAGGAAAATATGGGGTCTATCCTATCACCAGTGACAGCGGATGATGATGGTTGGTAAAGGCCTTTCTCTAAAAGAGTGATAATTGTCTACCGACTGTTACAGGTAATAGGACAGACTCAAATGACATACCTTTGGCTACGTTTAGCCCAAAGCCATCTTCAATCGCCCAAAACCCTTCCAGACCCCACGACCTCCTCCCCCCCCAAGTGTAGGGCCGTCAATGTCAAGTGTGATGAATTGCTCGGACAGCTCCTGAATGTTTGGGCAGCAGAGGGTGGGAAGACCCAGAAATGCAGTAAGTAGACGGAATCAATTTTTGTATCTCAATCTCAATATAATATGTCCCAAATATTGTAAACTTGCACCAACAAAACTCAAATGATGAACTCATGTTCACCAATGATGATGAGCACTTCTGCGTAGAGAAAAACAGAAGCACTCCACATGAAATGGGAAATGTGCGATCAAACAAATAGGTGTCAAATGGTGTCAGGCTTAGCATGTCATGCCTATGTTCAAACCTTTGATGGATAGTATATAATAAAGCCAACCTATCAACCAACCAGCCTCCGAATGGTGCGGCACCAATGTGTTACCCTCATCGCTCACATCATGCTCCTGCTCGGACATGGGCGTGCCCAGCTTCTGGTTCATCTCCTCTCACGGTGTGGGTGCATCGTTCGCGATTGGTGGTCTTCGAACCCCCCAAAGCAGGTTCAAGAACATGCACCCCTAGTAGCGTCCGTGGCCATGCCGGAAGCCCCGTTCGTATCGTCCTTGCTCCTAGTAGCCGTCTTTTGAACCCCAACCTTCCCCTCCCTGACTCGTACTGTGCCACCACGAAGGATGATGACGTGGTCGAGATGCGCACGTCGTCGATGCGCACGTCGTCATTGCGTTGAACCTCGCGGGACCTGCAGGACCCGCCGAAGGTGGCTTTGCCAAACCCCAAGCTTGATGATTCTCATCCTGCCCAAACAAAAGACTGACCCTGCCGGATTCACCATCTTCATGGGCATCACCTTCCTAATACAAATGGATGAGATTGCTCAAAAAGATTCAAAAAGGCTTTATTTACGCTGGTCAAGAATTCCCCTATTCGCTTCCCAGGGCTTCGGGTTAGTGTGTACCCACCACGAACGTTTCATTAAAATTGACTTTTGGCGTGGTTGATCTGGCTCCGCCATGCTCTGGACCCCATGCTCTTTCCCCTACGTCATCCTACATCCATGGGCCGCAACTCCTTGACCTCTTGGAAGGTGATCTTCCCATTTCCATCCTGGGACGAACGTTCGCTTACACAGGACATCGATCGGAATCGGCGCAGACCCGGTCACATGAGTCCAACGAATCAGATTGGCAGCTCGCAAGATGCCCTTGAGGACACCCAAACCAAGACAAAACCGGTCCGGTGTGAGCGTGCGTTCGAGCCGCGAGATCCAAGACGTCAAAGGCTTGCTTTTGCTCCAGCACCTGGCAAATCAGCCAAGTTCAGGTTCCAGTCGGCTTCTTGGACCGACTGTTCCGGTCCCACACTTTGGGAACTGCTGGGCCAGTGTCGGGTTGCAGCTTGGCAACCACGATCTGGGGCGAAGTGGGGGTCCTTGCTTTGCTCAAAGGGCCGTGATCTGCAATGGATGAAACGGCTGTTTTGGGCCAACAATCTCGATTGCCAAGTGTCACACAAAACAGCCATGGCCATTGCTATTATGTTGGAGGCCATCACTATTTAGGTTGGAGGCCATCGCTTCTAGGTTGGTATCTAGAACATATTTAATAGGCTCTTCGACGATCTCGCTCTTCACCGTGCACAAAAACGGCTTCGGTGAGCCGCGCGGCGCCCCCAGGCGGTGCGTCGTTCATCGCCTGATCTTTGGAGAGCTCAAAGCGTGCCATGTAGGCCTTGCGAGAAATCGGAAAGGTTAACAGAAATTGTCGACATTGAGGGAAACAAGTGGAACACATGGCCCGAAATGAAGGTCAACGTTTTACAGAATCGGCAAAAACAAATGCAGACAATACTGTGCTGATAAGAAAGAGTTGAACATGTGTGTGGGTGTGTGTGTGTCTGCAGTGCGTGTGTTGTTACGGCTGGCAAACTAATGCAACAATACGCAACATGCAACAAACAATGAAGGACAATTCATCAATCGAAAGAGGTCATAAAGTTCGGGATCCCGGTTTGTCACACTGACGACAACCTTCACTTTATATAACCCTTAATTAAGAATGTTGTTGGCAAATGTTATGTTTTGCCAAAAATGGGTCTCGGATGTTTTCCGCCCGTTGAAAAACTATATCAAATGATTGATCTTGGGTTCCCAGATGTTCCAAAGTTCTGTTCTTTCGCAATCTGTGAGTTGTTCAATGCTCTCTTGGAAACCAACCCCTTCTGCTGCATGTACAGTAACAAATTCCATCAAATGTCCAACCCGTCGCTTGTCCAGCAGCTGCCCATGCACTCGCACCTCCAGCAGACTGGCCGAGAGCGGCCCCCGGCAGTCGACCCTCTCCCTCCCCATGGGCGAATCCCCATGGGTCCCAAAGCACACTTTGTCGTGTCGGAAAGTTCGGTTCACCACGTTGCACGCGTGGTGCAGGCTATATCCTTGCGGTGCTTTTCGAGATGTGCTGTCACACCAGGAGCTGAACCAAGCACCTCTGCCTTTGGGGCTCTGAATGCTAAACTAACAGCTCAATTGGATCTTTCAATCTTGCAAAGAGGACAGAAGGCTCTCTTTTTACCAGTTTAGGCCGGTTCTGCAGCTGCAACCAAGGAGCTCACCCAAGAAGGACAGATTAGAAAACACAGGAAAACACGACCACGAGTGGTAGGCTCATGAGAAGGTTCAGTAAATTTCAGTAACGAGTCCATCAACAACATCCAAACCACAGGCTAGGAGCTTCAGGCTAGATACAGTAGCAGCTACGACCTCATCTTTCACTCGTCTGAGCCCAGCAAAGTTGGGGCCAAAACCATGCAGAAGCCACTCCGTTTTGAGCCGCCCCTGAGAGAGTCTATATGCAACTCAAAAGAGCCACAGCCCTTCAGTCGCTTATAGTGACCCTCGATGTGGCAAAGTGGCAAAAGTGGATCCCATTTCGATACGAAATCATTTCAGTCTTATGCCATGCCCTCCCAGCGACCAGAGACATTGCTATAAAAACAACTATCACTCACACTGTCGCACTGATTTCTGATGTCTGTGATCTCCACAGGCCACATACTCCGGCCTTGCTCACCTGTAGCATCGCAGGCAGCACGGGCATCGACACGGCAGCTGCAGTAGGGTCGTTAGACGTTGACAATGTCTGAAGCTACGTGACGTACAGCTACCACCTGACATCCTGCGCAAAGGTATCCCAATCAGGGATACTCAGGGTGTTACCCAACGGAAGCTGAAGAGTTTCCTTCCTCCAAAGTCATCAGTGGAGTCAGTGCCTTGTGCAAGGAAAGTGATCGACGTCTGACACAAATGATGTGACCTTGAATAAGCTCCTTTTGCCGGCAATGCTTGTTCCAATGGTTTTTTCGGCCAGTGCTACATTGTTAAACGGAATTGCACAAACAATGTGAGGGAATTGTCCTTGTAAGGAACAGATCCAGTTTCTGAAAATGAAATAAATCTTAAAAGCATTTAAAAGCCAAAGATAAACTTAAAAGTGTTGTTGTCCTATGCCCTACGCATGGTTGCTGGATGTCACTCACATGTGTTAGCCGACCTTGTGCTAGACTCACATGTGAGCACATTGAGCAAGTTCGAGGCGCGCGGCAACCCGCAGCGTGTCAGATCTGATGGATGATGGATGATCATGTGACGGTGAGTCAGAGACAGACTGGGTAGCGGTAGAAGGAGAAGTGGTCTACAACGCTACAGGTGTCGGGGCCTTAATTCTTGAGCTGCCAAATGACCCCAAGGTAAGCACTAGGCATTTTGCTGACACAAGCCACCCACAGTCGCAGGATTCGAACATAAGCCCTTCCTCTAGCCAGGAAGTAAACAAAAATAAACAAATGGATCTTCGCAGGAGCCAGCTCGGTGCAATCTCAAGATGCCAGTCTGTGGCTTATCGGCGAGTAGAGTAAAGCCACACAGCCTTCTCTTACTCGCACTCTTGTCGCATTAATTACCAAGAATGATCAAGAATGTCAAATTAGCGCTAGGAGCAAGCAAACAAGCCATCTGCTGTGTTTGCCTCTAATTTCTACGACACCTTCTCTGCAGGCTGCCCTTTGTGAGGTTCAACAAATCCACTTCCTGCGTTTGTCCAACCTCCACGCTTCAATATGCTTCAATCAGGAACGAAAAAGACCCCATTGAACCTCTCCAAAAACATGGGGGTCCGGGGTCGGCGACTTTTTCAGGCTCGTGGCTGGAGACCTCGTACACCCCCCCAACTCAGCTTCTCCACTTTCGGCCCCTTTTTGCTCAGTCGCAACCCTCCAGGGAGATGGGCGCCACCGCCGCGGCCGCTGCCGCGGGCGCTGCGGGCGCTGCGGCAGCCGGAGCGTCCTACCCGGCGTCGTGCACAGGTCCGGAATGCAAGAAAGATGGCATCTAAGCTATTCTAAGACATCTAAACAAAAATGGACAGCCTAGGGCGCAACATCTAGCTAAGACGGAGCGCGCGCAAAAATTGGGGGTTCGCATCGGGTGCATGAAAATGACCACATCCGAGGACAAGGATCTACAGCTTTCCGACGGCTGGAGGATGCTGGAACTGCCGGTACCGCTGGAAGTGCTAACAACCACCGATGTTTTCCCCCCCGCCTCGGCGACATCATCTTCGTCAAGCTCCTTAGAGATTGGCCAGGAAGAGCAGAAATCATAAGAGATTGGCTTTCATTATGCTTTCATTTGCCCCCTGGAAAGCCAAAACTCCTCAAACAAAACGTGGGTGACTTCGACCCAAAATGGCGCCCATTCCGCCAGGGCGCCATAAGGCCGTCCGAAGTCTTGGGAGGCCTCACCAGCAAAATCCCAGACCCATGCGGAAACCAACAGACTTGTCTTTGCTGTTGCCCATGGCTTAGTAAGCTTGAAATCCAGGTGTCCGTCATCTACGGGCGTTCCATACATGCGAATCCCATGCGTCTTCCAAAAAGAGCAGCCGGTCGGCAGCTGACGCTTCAAATAACTGGTGTTGGCAGTCGGTCATTGAGTCATTCAAGTATTGAACTAACAGGCGCGCGGAGCCCTTTGCGCCTGTAAGCTGACGACAAGGCCTCAATCTCCTAGCAGATCTGGAACTGTGGTGGATGGTGATGGTTCAATTCAAGTGCCTTTCAATCGACCCACTACAATACAATGGATGGAGATCGAATGAGATAGATGGATGGACGGATTGATGGAAGTTGTCACGGGCCACAAACCCCATGAGAGAAAGAGAGAGAGAGATAGATGTTATTACCAACCGGACCAAGTTCTTGCGAGAAGGCGCTAAACATCGAGATCCAAAACCAAACGAGAAAATTAATACTTCGAATATACGAGAACTAGACTCTTAGACTTTGGGTTTTTGAGGTTTGACTTCAGGTTTCACTGGCAAAGCCGTCCTCCGAAACCGTCCTCCCAAACGAGCGATCGCCCAACCTCTGGAAAGTCGACTTGAAGCTTGCTGAGCACCTCGCCATCCCGTGAGTGAACGCCCGGATGCCGGCACTTGCTGCTTCAACCGAGTCTGGCCAACCACCCCTAGTATGCGACCCGCCAAAGCTGTGGTCCTTGCTTAGGTTTAGTTTGGCGACACTCATGTGAACATGTGAACATGTCATGGGAGCCTTTTGAAGAGATGTCAACTTGGTCTTTGACCGCAACAATCCTTTAAATCGTTCTGAACTGTGTTGGCAAGTCACGGCAAGTCCCTCCAAGATCCAACCGCCCAATGGGACGGCAAAGAGAAGCGTGACGCCCCGTTACGGAAGACCGCGGGCCATGGGGGATGATAGCGGATAGTTCTCTGCAAACAGTTCATCTCAGGTACTGCATGCAATCAACCCAGGCTTCAATCACAACGGGATCTGTCAAAGGAGTTCCCCTCCCCAAAACCATGTCTTACAACGAAACTGCGCCCAACTAACGTTGAGTTGAACTCCCCACACTGATGGGACTAACTGGCCTTTGTCATGTGAAGTCCTGTCTTCTCCAAAGTGTTCTCCAAACGTCTCCCTTCAGTCGCGCCTCGTCCAGAAGCGCATGCTCTTTGGCAGTCAGGCAATGGATGCTCAGCTCAAAGCGGGGAGTCCTCCCGGTGCGATGGTAAATCATTCCAACAACGTCCAACAACCATGAGTCCCATATTAGGTCCATATTGTGTGTGCATATAAATATAACTATATATATATATATCAATATATAATAGGTTCGTCTTGGAAGGTTCATTCCACACAAAGTCCCATAATTCTTCCCTCTTCCCAGCAAAACCCCCTCTTCCCGAGACATCGTGAATCTTCTGCCTCGAGAGTGCGCCCAGCACATCCACCGCAAAGCGCGTTGGCCCTGAGGACGGCTTGGACCCGAGAAGTTCGAGAAATCAAACCACCAAACCCTACTCGACACGCCGGTTCCCATTCGCCTCCTTCAGGCCTGATTAGCAACAACATGCTGCCCACCAACCCTAAAAGCTCCGCAAGACTTCCCGAAACCCTGTTCCGGCGCTCAAAACACTCCTCGCGCCTGCGTGGAGGCGTGCCGCCAAAGCCTCATGGTGAGACCACTCCCCCAAAAAGGCTGTGGCTGTTGGAGGCTTTTGAGGCGTTGGAACCACCACGACCTCCAAACGAGGACCACAGCCCCGCTGCAGGGATCGGACGACCCAAGGATTCGGAACATCCACAAGACATACCCCGAGCCCAAGGGGAGTCTTGCGGAGTTCAGCTGCATTCAAAGCCACCTGTTGGAAGGCCCTCATCATATATATATATATATGTGGCAGGGACCTTTTGGTAACATTTCGTTGCGGATGAAAAGCACCGGCACATTTCTCACTAGCGCGCACAGGTCTCATTTGCCCATGCCACCACGCACAGGGGAAGGAGAAACCGGACGTCGCGGGTCCTTAGATCGGTTTCTCATTGTTTTTCATTGTTCAATTATTGCACATGTATATTGGGAAGCATGCGTTGCAACTAATGAATCAGCCAAAGCGTCGTCCACTGATCTCTGGCCTGTGTGAAAATTCTCCCAGTAGAACACTCCTGGCTTTGTGCCTTGGATACAAGCGCTGATGGCTGATGGTTCCCGAAGCCTAGAACGGTTGGCATGACGTTCAAAAGCTTGTTACGCTTTTCAAAAGAGTACGGCCGCTTTTGCGTTCAAGCCAGGCTGCGGCTTTCGATCTTGCGCCAGCTCAAGTTGTACGCCTTTTCCTCACAAAGGTACCGATTGAAAAATCTTTTCGATAACCATCAACCGGATTGATTCCCGCGCAGATATGAACATAGTGTTTGGTGAATTCAATTCATGAGTGGCTTCGTGCCAAAACAAATGAGGCTCCCAAAAGCCACGTGATCATACGGTTGAAAGAGTTAAAAGACTGTCTCCGTCATTTTCGCATGCCAATCATCCTTGCGTCTTTGCAACGCGTCGAACCATCCTTTGGAAGGGACAGAGGCCTCCACCATTTCCTCAGCGTGCAACTCTGAAACGCCCAGGGCGCATTGATTGAATTGTTTGTCCATGTCGGGCCGCCAGAAATATGTTGATTTGAGCGTTAAACAAAAGTTCCTGCAACTCCGTAACTTGCCCGCAATTCTGCCAAATCTGAGACCCTGGCGTGCCATCTGGGCTTGAAGCCCCTGCCAGGTGGTGCGGATGTAAATGGTCTACGCAGGTAAACTGTAAAGAAAGAGCCACTCTTGCAAAGCAATACATGTTCTTTTTGGTGGCTAGAATCAGACTCTGCTCCACATGGATTGTGAAACTAACAAGCGCAAAACACAAGCCAGAGCACAAACCTATGTACGTTTTTGTTGAAGCATCAGCTTTCGTAAGCTCAACAAATCATATGTTTCTATGTTCGCTCGGCACCATAGTTCTAGTTTCTCTTTGGAGCGGCGTCCTACACCACCGGAGTATGGATTTCGTCGCCCGACTCACCTTTCTGCACCCGGAATACAATCCGACGGGTCACGAAAGCATTGTCTCCCCAACGACGCACTGGCCTTGCCACCGTGGACACCATATACATCGACGGGTCCCGTAGCTCCTGGATGGGGCAACCACATACCATGACTTACAAAAAAGAATAAGCATGAATAGCACGTATATTGTTGATGCTTTGACAGTTTGCATGGCTTTTGAAGAGTTTGTTTGCTTTTGTTGTGTTTACTCTTCTTCACACTCCGCAGACCTTCGCAGGACAATGATACTTGGCTAAGATCCTTTATCTAAGCTTACTGTTCTGCTTCGACTCTTCACCTCCACCTCGCCAGATCCCCGATTCGACGAAGCGGGTGTCCTTGGACTTCTCAAGGGCAAACTCCAAGAGCTTTGCCGCATGCTGTGGCGGAAGGCCTGGGACATCGCAAACATCCGATGGTTAAAAACACAAAACAAACAATGCACTTCCAAGTCTGTCAAAAGAAGTCCTTCATCAAAAGGATTCTGATCAAAACCTTTCAACCAGCTCTCTGGAGAACATGTGAAAAAAGAAAAGTCTGATACCTTCTATACATCTCAAATATCATTACATCTGTGTCTTCATAACTCTACGCCGTTCCAGTGGCCTGTCACTGCGACGAGCGCTTCGTTTTGTACCGAAGGACCACCTTTTTGCACCTGGCTCCTCAGTGACGACCACATATCCATCCGACCGGGAAGATCGAAAGCGGACGTTCACAATCCACCGAAACATTGCTTTTGGTTCAAGGGGCGACCATCTGCATGGAAGTCTATCATAGAAATTAAGGGGGGACCATCTGGATGGACGCTGTATTACAACTCACCGACTGCCCTCGACCAAAATCTAATCTCTGAGAATCAAATTGGATTAAAGTTCACAGGGTATGTTTCTTGAAGTGCTTCACTGTCAGTCTCTATGTTTCACTTCAGATCCCCACAGAAGCCGCTCCATGGTTATTGGATCAATGCCTTCCGGGCCTGAGCCACGAAAAGACAGTCGATCCGAGAAACTTTCCCATTCGTTTCCAGGAGACAACTGAAGAAGCCATGCCATGGTATGTGAAAAGTAAGGAACTAAGCAGTAAATTGATTTTAGTGTTTATGTGAGGAAAACACCTCTTGATATGGGTAGTGGCCCTGTCATCGACCGTCTCCCCACTCCTCACCTGAAGGTGCTGCATTTTGCAGACCTTTCGCAGCTCCTGTGCCAAGCTTTCCGCATTCAATCGGATCAAGGAAAACCTAATGCAGCCTATAGGCAAACCGACCTGGCGATGATCTGTGATTGGTAGATCACTTGTCAATGTGTCAACTTGTCAACGGCTAATGCGTTTGTGTCACTCATTCACTAATAGCCGAAGTGTCTCGCATCACGACAATCAAACATGATTCGAAAAAACGGCGCGGAGCGCTTCGGCGTAATCCGCCTGGAGGAAGCTTCTCAGCGACCTGCAGCCATGAAGATTTCGTAAAGTTCCCTCATGACACATGTCGTGGCGTCGTTGCTGTGCTAACTGTTCTCAGAATGTGCACTGTGTAGTTTGTTCTGTCCTATTTCAATCCGTACCCTTGCGCACAGCTGAACGCTCAGCATGAGAGCCGGGCCTCTTCGGCTCGCGCAACACACTGCTTCTTTGCCGCAGCGCCGCGCTCACCTGTCATGCCGGTGGCGCATCTTTGGGTATGAATATGCCATATAATGTTCCGCTGTACCTTCTTGTCTACAACATATGATGTTTGATCAATATTCTTTCATCCTGGAATGGCCATTCATCGCGAAAAAGCAGATATCTTTCGCGGATCTTTCGCGACCTCATCGCGAAGCATGTTCCTCAAGAGAGGTTGGTTACTTAACATGTTTTGGGTGAGTCAGAGAGTCATGTATATTTATATATAGAGATACGGTGGGCGGAAGAAGAAATCCTGCACCACTTTGATACAGCCGTCATCCAAAGCTGACAGACCAGCAGCCCCACATCCCTATTCCAGGTCGTTGGGGTATGGGGGTGGGGTCAAGTTTGGTAGGCAGAACTTTATCGGCACATTCGTGAAACTTTCGCGGATCTTTCGCGAAAAATCATTAATGATTTCCCCATTGGCTCAAACTGGCTCAGCCAGGTGATTGCACTTTGGCTGTATTTGGCGCCATCTCTGTGGCTAGATTGCTTCAAGCACAAATGCCTCTGACAACTATACACATCTGTGATCTATGACACATAATACAGGAATCCCACAAACATACGCTACACTACACATTGACATCCCAAAACAAACTGAAACCAAGTAAAGTTCTACGTAGAAGCTTTTTATCCAGTGGGCCATAAAAGGAGAACCAATATTAAAACCAGAACCTTCGATAAATCTTTCGCGAAAAACATGTACTTTCGCGAACCTCATCGCGAAGCTTTCGCGGAGGGTTTTAACAACATCTAAAAGGCTGTTTTATATTAAACTCCTTACGCTGGGTTTTCGATCATCTCCCATATGGCTCACAACTACTTTTTGGACATGCCCGGAAGGACTCGATTCGCCGTCAAACCCGGGTATAGGCCTTCCACGGCAAGTCCATACCAATCTGCCATCCGCTTGGCGCGCCGCTCTCTGCGCGCCATGGCAAAGGGCCAAGGGGTGAAAAGCGGAGCAACCGTAAACATAGAACATTGCAGTCAACAATGAAACATCTGTCCTTTATTGCCTTTTGAACGGATGACTTTTGTGACATTGAAACCCATTGAAACCCACGACACTTCCGCGCACCCATGGGGAAAAAAGGAAAAACTATAGCCAACAGTTCACATCGACATGCATGGTGAAGCGTTTCGTTTAGTCTCTCGGTCTCTCGTCTATTGTTTTTCGTCTTAGTCAGTCAGAATACAGCAGCATATGAAAACTATTTAGCGCATTTAGCACATTAGTCTTTTGTTGTCTACCAGAAAAAACGTCCAGCCAGCAATCAAGTTTTGCGTATTAGCGCTGTGCACGTCCATCCTACACACATATGATATGGCACGCAGTGAAACCTAACTATAACTCCACCATCTGCAAGAAATATAGAAAAAGCTAAATTATCCTTTTTGTAACAAATACTATTTGCTGTCCCCGAAATTTTTCGAATCAGTCTACCATGTCAACACTACCTTAAAACAACAAATAGTAGTAATAGTAGTCGGGATGCGCTTAGCAATGAAAGGTGATGAACCAAAATAAATTGGAAAGAGAAATCACATCACCAGAAACAAAACCCATGCATGCCAGATGCACCACTTGTTAACTCACAACCCTGGTACGGGAAGAAAGGAGACCGGGACCAGCGCAGCAAACCAGCCGTGCAAGGGTGGCTCAAAGAAGAAACCTACCACCCCAAAATTTAACCAAAAAGGTCGCAACGAATGAAGACCCCTTCATAAAGGAGAGTGCGGGCGGATCAAAAAGAGAAAAGGACACAACAAAGCACTAAACCCGTGGCGGAAGATCCGCCAACAAACGTTGCCCTATTCCAAGAGCAACCCTACTTGGCTGAACTCATGACCAGTAGATCCAACCAACCGATTGAAACAAATCATTGCAAGCAAATCACCGTTTGTTGTACGCTCGCGTACACGTCCCAAGACTTCAGATCTCCACAAGGTAGGCAGGTTCCGAAGCGTGACA